GTGCTGCATACGGACATCTGAACTTACAGATGGTCCATCTCACAGCTCATCTTTCCAGGGGAGTATTCTGTTGACAGGCAACTGTGTCTACAGATTCCATCCAACCAGGAGCATAGCATTGTTGATGCATCATTCTCTGCAACTAAAAACACAGATAAACATGACTATGTGTTTGTTAAAATCCTTTAGCTTTCAATCTTAAACAATAAATGTAAAAATGTGATGGTATGAGCTGCAAAAACATGCAGAGATGTATCAATACTCACCAAAAACAAGCAAGACAACGACCAGCGCCAAAACAGCCACACGATAACGAGACATTGTTGGGTCTGAAACTGCGTCTTTCTCCAAAACGATGTTTAGACCCAGGATGGTTTGTCTTATTTATCTGCTCACCTCTGAGGAGGGGAGGAGTGAAATAGGAGATATAGGAGGAAAAGGGTTGGTCTCTAATTTATTTTCAGTTGTTATTATTATGCACATTTCAGAGTATTTCTTCTGGAGCTGTGTTTGTCAACTACCTGATGATGGGAAATGTATTGCCCTGCATTTTGTTAAAAAATTAAGGGTTGCTTGTCAAGTGATGGTGTATTTCATATAAAATGCAGTGTTTACGCCGAAATATTGCATATATTTCTTTTGATTATCAAAATGCATTTATGTTGTCCACTACATCTTTTTTTTTTTTTACACTTTTTCTGATATGACGTGATGTTAATCCACCTCAACAAAATCACGACTGTTTGCTCTCCTGGCTCTGAAATGGTGGAATGAGTTCCCCATTGGCACCAGGACAGCAGAAAGTCTACACATCTTTTGCCGCAGACTAAAAACACATCTCTTCCGACTATACCTTAGTGATGAAGATGATCGCTAGTAACTAATTTAAAAAGAACAAAAAAAACTTATATATGCAAATTGTACTTACTTGATTCTTGTTGTTTTGGGTTTGTTCCCTCATTGTTGATGCACTTATTGTAAGACGCTTTGGATGAAAGCGTCAGCTAAATGAAATGTAATTTAATGCAACACAATCATTTAGGTGTTCAACCATAGACTGTGTTCAACACCACAAATATCTAGTTCGAGACTTATATGAGTTTGCAATGTTTAATCAGCCCTTGCAGCTTACCATGCCAAGGAGGTTACAGGAAAAACTGGTTGTTTTCTTACAAATGGGTTCAAATCACATGCCATTACTTTATTTCTTTATAAATCATTGCAATCAGTTTATATCTTCTAAAATGAAAGTTCATGGCACAGAACATAAAACATCCATGTTTGTCATATTCTGTCATTTTGAATGCTAGTTTTGGGTACCACAACTTTCATGTGACAGATCTGCATCTGTAAACATCTGAAGTTTGCTCCATTGGTTAAACCAGAGAAAAACCACCAGGCAAAAGGACTACTAGTTTAACCAATGGCTGTAGGTCAGATTTTGTTTACAAAAGACGGCAATATAGTTTAAGTGGAGACTTAATGATGTTGAATGGGCTCTCAACTATCCAGGACGATATCCTGTAAATATCTACATACAATGTATGACAAAACATGTGCCTAAATATTATAAATGATTTAAAAAAAAGTCAGTTTGATACCAGATAAATTTTGTTGCAGAACAGGGGTTACACAAAAATTTGCTTTATTGCCACTGTCTGATGTAGGTCAGATATCTGCCATGATACAAATAATGATTTATAACTTCTATGGTCAAAAATAAAAGTTGAGAAATGAAATGATTGGAAAAACAATTTGTTCAAGAGTTGTACCAGGTCCCCAATTTTGAAAAGATATGACTATAGACTATACTTTACAAAAACAATAATAATTACAAGTTTCAGCTGCTTTTCAACTCTCATTCAAAAGTTCTGAACTTAAAAAGTTGTCCTTGATTGAACCATTTCACAGAAAACAGTATTTACATGCCCTTGGCCTATGAAAATATTTGCTTTTGGGGGTAATTAATTTTTTTACTGCTCTAAAACAAACTGGAAAACACTGTCTGAATGTTTCATTGAACATGACTTATTTTGTTTAATTTTATCAATTTATTACCATTAATTCTGTGAAGAATTTAAATGTATAAGCTTCAGACTTGTTGATTCTGTCACAGTCATGAACCTGTAAACTTTGTAGGTCATGTTTCCTCATCACGTCCTGAGACACAACGTTATTCAGCTCCTCTTTCACCATCTGGCAAATTTGTTTGAGTATTCTAACACTGTGTGCTTCCATCAGCATTTTGGTTTGATATACTGCCAGTCATTGTTTATTATGGCAGGATCACTGCACCACATCCTTATCTTTCTTATAATGCAAGTCAGGAAGCCTGTGGTGTGATTTCAGTCGTGCCAAAGTCAAGACATCACCCTCACTGCCAGGCATCAGTGATGTCTCACATTATGAGTCATTTGGGAGGGAAAGGGAAAGGTAAGGACAAAATAGTCCTTAATAAAATGAGGAGTATAATTTATGAATCTTTATTTATCAAGAGAAAAGATGCTTAACCATTATTGGTACTGATAATATCGGGTTGTCCTAGCAGTGATACTAGAGACCTGCCAGGTGGTCTTCAA